AAACAAAAACAAAATTTAACTAAAACTATACTAATATTGTATAATTAGGGATTTTTTTTAGCTTTGTAACCAGAATAAACATTTATTTCCGGAGTTAAAATCAGGACATTTAGCCCAGACATGATAATATACAGAGTAAATGTTAAGCAGGGAGGCTGACAGACAACATTTAAAGATTATATTTGGTAGGGCTTGTACAGATAAAAAAAAATTCTGACACGAGGACCATTTATTAAATAGTAATTTTGTGCTATAACATCAGCCTACAGCAAATTTAATCTCATATTTAACAATGTTCTTGGCAATGGCACGCAACCGTCTAGACCTCTCTGGGAAAGGAATACTTAAACTGCAGGCTGCTGTACAATGAACATGCTGTTTATCACAGAGTCTGTGAAAATGTCATTGAAAAGTTGGGTCCAGATATCAAAACATGAGCAGATGGATTCAGCAGACCGAGTAGGGCCTGTTTTAGTCATTTCCTTCATGGGAAGTTTACCCAGAGAGAGCAGTTTAATACTGCTGTATTTCCGTAAGAGGCTGGGATGACAAAGCGGGGGCAGCTGATGGGTGGACAGGTCAGTATCTATAGAGCAGTGGCATTTCTCTAATTGGCACTTGTTACCATGAGCGTGAGTCAGTGCATTATTGTTTGTGCTTGGCGTAATCCATCATAGCATCAACTCCCCTTTCACAGATGTTTGAAATTTGCTCTCATCCACGCAGTTTTCAATGGTGAAATTCCTCTGTAGACTAACGCCAATATTCATCGATTTCTAATATCTTATTTAAATGTAAAATCTGAAACATGTGTTGAAATATTATAATGTAGTTTCTGTTCTTTTATAAAACGTACTTTATGATGGTCTAACAATGTGGTGTGTTTTAATAGTAGATAAAATCTGTTAAATCAATTGCCTCCGTTTATGGACTGTTTAAAGACCTTCCTTCTTTGCCTAATATTGTAATGTTTCTTGATATGATCTCATATCCCTTCCAACTGTTACGATAGCAATGAATTTCCAATTTTTTATCGGGCATTTTGTATTTGTAACAATAGAAATGTTTGAGAAAATGTTAGTTCAGACAAATGTCTATTATGGGTTCCTTTTAGAATTTAGATCATTATGGAGATTCAAACGCTGAGTGAACCATTGTGTAAAACACTGAAAAGGCATACAGTATTTCCACCGCCTTCTTTTTGTCTTAACAAGTCTGAAAATCCACATCAGAAAATTGCTTGTTGTTTTTTTTTTCTCCCATGGGGCGTGATGTGTTATCAGTTCTGTGACATGATTTTCTTTTCTTTGATTAAAAGACTTCTGCAAAATAGGCTCTGTGCTGAGAATTTTCTGGCAAACACACCATATAATGACAACACAGCCAGCGGCTTAACAAGCGGGACTGAGCACGGAGGAAATGGGATGCCGACTGAATCTAATGGTCGAATTAAATGAGGGGTGGACGCACACACAGCACACAGCAGTTAGAACTTGACAGGCTCTAATAAACTGAATGGCATTTTCATGGTTTTGTTTGTTTTATGTCATTTTTTATTTAAGATACAAGCTAAGCTCTGTATATATTGTATTTCCTTTATGTGAATTTGGAAGACTGTTATCCATGTTGCATTGCAGGAATAATGTGCCTTCAGTTATTGATTCTACTGGATTCGTGAGAGTGTAAAATCTGAGTTATAAGGGGTCAATATGATCAGGTTTTCACCAAGTAGTGGGAAGGTGACCTCAAGAAAAGGCCTCCAATAATGCTCACCAGCATGTTTGGCTACTTCATTGATTTTTCTTTTGTTATAAAGGAAGTGTTCTGCTTATTAACACTCCACATTGCAACAGTTGAACACGTATTATTCAAGAATCCACAATAGCATTTTTCTAAGAGCAGAAGCAGAGCAGAGAAATAATAACCTCTTCACGCTACACTAACTGAATCTGTTATTGCGAGTTTGTTACAGGCCACTTCTTCAGATCACCCTCAGAGGTATTCTCTAGCATTTTCATGAGAACTGTTACTGATAGTTTTACTTAGCTGATGCCAGAAGTCTAAAAACATAAGCATATTAGTTTATCGTTGTTACTTAAAGTGTGTTTCAGTAGTGGCTGCATGGTGCAGTGGTTTACACATTTACTTCAAGAGCAAAAGATCCTTGGTTTGATCCCAGGAGGCCTTTGGGGGATGTGTTGTGTGTAATTCGACATCTGCCAAAACAAATATCCAGAATGACCTGCTTAAAAAATGGGACATACTAAAGGTAGCTTGATTTAAAACGCACTGATCTGGAGGACTGAAGATTCATGCATACATGTTGTTTCAGCACGTGACATCTGGGGAGCATCTTTGCTCACATGAGCATCGTAGCAACAACTACCAAACACTCACAGCTCACCTAACTGAGCTTCCATTATCAGTTAGCATGAGCAAACCCTTTTTGAGTAAAATAGGGTGATTGCAAGAGGCAATAATCAACTTCCCCTTTATTGAGATGTTAAACTGTATAAGCAATTATCCCACTCTCTGGATAATTACATAATGGGTTTTGATTGGCTGCTGGCAGCACTGGGGCGTTTAAAGAAAAACTATGTTTGATTAGCTGGCGCTCGAATTAGTCTTAACTAAGCACATAAAATGGTTCAGCATTAGATTGTATTTCTGAACATCAGACAGATTATAACACTACTGCCTGTCTTAAACTTTTTATTTCTAGTTTGGGTGTAAGTCAAAATTACCACCAGATATTAATTCACATATTAGCTGCTTTCCAGCCACCAGCAAACATCACAAACAGAAGAATGGGCTACCGAAGAACTTTTAGTTCCTAGAATTTTATTAAAAAACTGGTGACAGAAAGGCGCACAGACAACACGACTCCCCCTACACCAAAAAAACAAATTAAAAAAATCCCTCAATGTTCTACTGTTTAATGCAAAATGACAAGATTAGAGTCTCACTGGTTTATGCTGCGCATCTATTATTCTTTTATGTATGTTGACAGTCTCCTGCATCTTGCTGGACATCTTCATTTTTCTGGTGAGGACGAGTAATAAATTAATACAGTGATCATCATATTTACCACAAATTGGCCAACTGACCAGTGACAGAGGATTTTTTTTACAATCAATTAACAGTATTACCTCACTGCACATAAAACTATGTGTTAATAGCCAATTTGATTAAAATATTAAAATCAAAAAATCAAAAGTAAAGCATTGAGCTCAGAAAAAACAGGCATGACAATAGAAGAATTTAAAGAAATCCAAGTTGAATTAAAAGTCTTCAGCACTGTATGACATAAATTGGGGATTAACTATATCGATGAAGATTAAGGTGTGTATTAGCAAAACAACTGATGAACTAGTTTCTCATTACCCTGACAAAGATTGTGAAGCCTGCGCTTGCTGAATCTGTGTGTTTTATTAAACTGGAAATGGCAGCGGTAGATGATATTCTTCATGATATGAATCATCGCTGTGAAGCTGAGGCGGTTTTGGTATCTGACTGGGTGGGATGCCTCCTGGGCAACTCCTAATAAGCTGTTCCAGGCATGAGCCCCCAGAATACACCCAGGACACACTGAAGGTATTACATGTCTCAGCTTAGATTTTATGCACACAGAAATATGATGAACACTATTAAAAATGTCAGTTGTGTGGATTCCTTAAAATGTGTCAGCTTTGCCTGGTAGAGGTTACACTGGATCTCCTTTTGTTTTGTTTTTGCAGAAGTTCACGCAGTCATTTCCAACGCATCTCGAAGACAGTGAGAAATTCTAAGTTGTTGACTTGATACTAAGACCAGACACCACACTTATAAGAGGAATAGGTTCTCTTGGTCCTTTCAGTTAAAATGTGAAACCACAGCCAAAGGCCAGTAATTAGCATGTCATCTTATCATTTATTTTCTGTGAAAACATTCATATTTATATAAAAACACACTTTAGAAATGAGAAAAATCTAAATTTATGAAAATCTTAGCTTTCTAGTCAAAGTGTAAAAAGGCTATAATTAAAAAAAAACCCTTAAAGTTCTGAGAAGAAAGGGATGTTATGTGGTTTAACTATTGCAGAAACAAAGTATCACATGAATAGGGAAAAGGTGGATAGGCTATATAAATTCCCTGTTCCTATTTTTTTATATGTCTTTGAAAATATGACACCACTTCTCTGCTGTCAAGCCAGGAGTTTCCTCTTCATGGTCAGTCTATAAATAATTTGGTAGCCGTCATCCCAGCCGTAAAGCTGCTTCTCCTCAGGGTTGTATTTCAGACTAGCGTGGGCCCCGTACCTCCTGGGGAAGTAGATGAGTGGAGCCTCTTCACTGAGCACCATGTCGTTGACGTCAAAGACACACTGAACCCGCGAGCGACTGGCCAGACGGGTGTTGTAAACGACATAGACAGTCCCGCACGCTACAAAAGCCGCCTCTGCATTTTCCCGCGGGCATCGAGTGTCCCAGATTTGCTCTATATCAAGAGTGGCAGCGTCCATCTTTGCTAGGCTGATGGTTGGTTCACTGTCACTGGGGGCATACAAGAGCCAGAGACCCCCATCATCTGCTGCAAGGTCTGCAACAGTCTCTGGATTGAGGTTGTACACAGTGGCACGACCCTCCACAGGGAACATGGCAGTTTCTGTCACTGAGCCACTCAGAAGGTCATATTTAACCACCTGCATATCTGCTTCAGCCTCCTGCTTTATGTAATACAAATAGCCATTGTAAACAGCGCTACCAGGGCCGGTCCATTCAGAGGGAAGCCTGATGCTTCTGCTGCCTGTGACTCCCAGGGAGCGTGAAAAGTCAAGTACAGATTTGAATTGGTAGATGGTGTCTCCTGATGTGCCATTAAAAATGTAAACCTTGGAGGATCTCGGGTCTCTGGTCCACATGCCCTTGGGACTGCCCACTCGCTTCATGATTTTCACTGATCGGATGCCAGAAATTATTTCCACACAGTCTGCAGCGAGAGAAAAAACACACAGAAGAGGATATTGGTGAAATGGAAAGAGCCACTGGTTATGTTCACTTATTTTAAATTCATGGACTATTCATATACTGCATATACTTTAAATGATGTACATATATTTTTAACTGACCAGTACATCCATCTAGTCAGCTGCTCCAGTTGCAGATCATATTTGCCAGTCAGTTAATAATACCAGACATTATTTTTGTTAGTGCTGCAGGTCATTTCCATTTCCAGTAAATATCCCAGACCTGCCCAACAAACCCCCAAAATTTCCTCTAGAAGAGAGGAAAAAGCAACAACAAACCTCCTGTTTGAAAATGCCAGAAACCTGAAATGTTAATATGATAACTATCTCAGGTTATCTGAAATATCATTTCAGATAAAAAGTACCTAATACAAAATATAACATTTAATAACCTTTACTGCAGTGCCCATCATACTGTTCCTCTACAATTTTACTACCACAGAAAAAAATACCCTCTGATAGTTTAATTTTAAAAAACAAATAATAATAATAATAATGATAATAGCAAAAGCAATAACAAAATAACAAAAGCTGTAAACTAAAGATGTAGTGATAACTCCTCCATAATTTACACCTGTGACAACAACATTATTGTCCCTGTTACTCTGTTAACAGCACAGACTGATTATAAGAGATTACTTTTTAGCCTTATACATGAATCTATGCAGAGCCTACAACATAGACTGTATACTGTTTACATGACATGTCTGCGCTGTCTGCCACCAGAACAACGCTTTTGTTCAGTTGCTCCAAGAAACACTGAGACTGTAACGTGAAAATCACAAGTTTGCTTAATCCATTTGTTTCACAAGTGAGCTGCTGGATGTAAGTTTGAGCTATTTTTTTTTATTCGACCCTCATTAATGTGCCACTTGCTGTGTATTGTAATTGCTTTTCTTACTGTAAACCATGTGACTGATTATCTGGTTAAAGGGAAATAAAACAGATCAAACCGCAAAACAGCTGGAAAGAGTTGCATCTATATTCTAAACCTCATGTCAAAACAAACATTACAGAATTGTATAAAGATATAGAAATGTAAAAACAAACAAACAGTGGAATTAATAAAAACATAATTTAAACATAATTTTCCTATTTAGTTTCATTAGCATGTTTCAATAAAGTGCAACTCTTCAACTGAACTGTGTATTTGCAGCCTTTCATCCAGCAGCCTGTGGTCATTTCTATCTGGCTCTCTAAATTAAAGGCAAATTCAAACCAGTCGGGGAATTGGGCTCAGACTCATACGAGTGCAGCACAAGGGCAGCATGAAGAGAAAGAAGACTAATATCGTTCTTTTGCCAAAATATACACAAAACGGAAGCCCCAATGGCATGTGTGCCAGCATTGTGCTTGCAGAAGCTGAACCGGGTCTCTACAATGCAGTAAAGTTCATTCTGGGTCACTTCACAGACGTTCACAATGGAGAACTGTGTGCAGAGATCATTCCGGCGAACATGAGAATAATGTCACTGACCTCAGGCCACTTTCTGTCCTTCCCTCCATGAACAGATTGCACACAAAAGCTAATATAGAAGGCTGTTGTTCAATCATAGACTTGATTTTGATTTTGAGAATACTGTGTATGACCATCATTATGAGCCTAAGCAAAGGGTTCATGATATTACAGCCTAATCCTTGAATTAATGTGTTATTGATTGTCTTGTAAAGTCAGCCAGTGAAATAAAGAAATCAATACTTTTTTCATTTGCCTTGCAAGGAGAGTAAATGGCACCAAAGCAATTTAATGATCTATCATTGGGGGATTTTAGTTTTTGGAACCATTTAAGTGCAAAAATTATACATCTTCGGCTTAATGTGCCACATTCTCTTAAATCTGCCAACGTGGAGTAGGAATTAAAAACTGATTTCACAACTTTTTACATCATGCTTTAACCAAGCTAGTATTACCTGAGTTAATGACTCAGTGCAGCAGTTGTATTGCAGCACCGTGCAGCAGTTCGCCTTGGGACGTGATGATTATAATGACAAACGCTGCGCTCAAACAGTGCAAACAGGGGAGTAGCTCTGCGGAAATAAATGAGTTGCATAAAGCCAGAATTCTACTGGAAAACATGACTGCACAGTGACTCAAAGCACTCTGCTAAATGACTTGTAACAGTGCCGTGTTTGTTTCCCATTTTCCAGAGGCATGGCTCTTCCGAGACTCTCTCTGCAGAAGGAATGGTGTGGAGCCCGGTCCTGTAGATGTGTAGCTCTAAATATATACATCCCAAAGGATCTGACTGTGTCATTCCTTCACTGTGAATTAAAATAAAAGATCAAAGACCTGAAGAGGGCATTTTTGCTGCAGCTCACCAGAGACTGTAGACTGCAGCTCCTCCCACTCTTCTTCTTCCTCTTCCTCACCTCTGCTTTCCTTCAGCTCCCAGGCCTCCTGCTCCACTACCTTATCTGCCCTGTTCGTGCAGGCCCGAGGGGACATCTGGGTTTCCACGTAATCCATCTCTTGTTCCACGCGGTCCACTCGAGCAGCTGCTCCTTCCAAGTCTTTGAAGAGCATGCTGTGGTGATTCTTTAGTCCATCCATGGCTTCGGCAGTCAGCTTTTTGAAATCCTTCATCTCTGTGTGGTACCGATGGGATTGCTCATGCCACAGCTGCATGCGGTCCTGTCAGACGTGCAGAAAGCAACACAAGTGTAAAAATGTATTGGAAAATGTGTTTTTTTCTCTTTTTTATTCAAACCAGATGACAAGGAAAAAAACCGTGTTTACACTGTAGCAAACGCTGAGGTCATCAGTTTGATACAAAATAAAATTCCTGCCATGAAAACAGTATAAACGATGTATCCTGTCCATTTTCTGCTGCTGATGTAAAATTTTGAATCTGTTTGATGACCAATCTCACTCTGTGTGGTTTCAGAATAAATTTCTTTGATGTTTTGGTTTTAATTCCAGGAAGCTTTGATGTTGTCCATCTTTATAGTATCTTTGCAAACATTAATTTCATCTAGAAAATTAAACCCAGTTATTTTGAGTGCTACTGTTACTTATTTTACACCAGCACAGTATCTGTGCCCAGGACTGCATTGTTAGAGCCAATTCTGCCTTGGTGCCCTTTGAAAACCAGTCTACATTTGGACAGGTTTGATAACAAACTCTCTGTGCTGTTATGGAGTGGAAGTTTAAGAAAATACCTTCAGAATAAAAGCATGGTGGAAGAGATCTGTGGGTTTCATTTGCAAATCACTTTATGCAGTTTTCTTCCAGTGTTTGTAGGGCTGTGCAGTTAATTAAATATAAACCGAATATAAAAATTCAATTAGAACTTAATCATTAAAACATTTTTTCCGGCCTATTGTTTTCTGAAATATATAGCATTGTCATTTTGTGATTTATTTTGGTGGAATTTTTTTTATTTTATGTGGATGCTACCTGCTGCAGATTGAATGCAAATTGGACACACAACTGCATCTATAGAAGAGATGTAGGAGGAAGAGATTTTGGCTTTGAAAGTAAAATTTCTTGCAATTTGATTTGAAGTTGTGGAAGTGTTCCACAAGATCAATGATCTTTGAAGAGTAGCTTGCAGGAAATAAATGCCAGGAAAAATAAGATTTCATTTTCGGAAAGAATACATTTATATGTCATGACATGAACAAGAAGGAAAAGTTAGCAGAAGTAATTTTTGCTCCCGATGTGGGTTTGACTGGCAAGATCTCTAAAATAATTTAGTCACTCACCTTAAACTCTTAAGGGCTTTTATTATTTTTCCCATTGAAGAAGTGGTAGGACTTTTTAAGGAAACACAAGTAACCATGTTTTTGTTTTTTGGTGTATGGGTTTAAAATGCCGTATTGTTTTGTAATTTTGGTTACATATTGAACACAAAGGGTTAAATCGGTGAAAGAATACAAATAAAATGACCATTCAAACCACATTCAGCCTGCAGGCTCATGTCCTCTGTGCCACCTTTATTTTGACTTTCTAGCTGCTGCAGATCCAGCTCTATTTTTCTCCATTTGCCACGTTGCTTTGTAATGGTTAGTTACTTGAAAAGAGTCTGTGTATATGTAATTTCAATTTTCAATCCCCCTAATTAGCCTACAAAAGCCCAATATGTATCCTACCAGCATGACATTTCTCATTGTGGTTCACCAGTCAGAGACCAAAACTGGAAACACTCCACTGAGTTCAGGCAAGTCGCAGGTTTATAACCTAAATGTCCATCTTTGGTATCAGTAAAGTTAGCATGTTGACTATTTTAAGCTTAAAATGGAACTAAATAACACTGCCTCAATAAAAGGCACAATTAAACAGAAAGTATTAAATTGCTATGCAGAATACGTATGAACCGTAACAATCATAAACCTAAGGCTTGCTTACAGTGAGCTATCGAATTCATCACACTTGAGACTGTAAATA